GCGGCCAGCTCGGCCTCGAGCGCGACCACGGCCTCGCGAGGCGGCGTGGCCCGGACCCGGTAGCGCACCGGCACATGCTCCGTCGCCTCGATGAAGTCGGCAAAGCGCTCGCGCACGGCCGGCCAGGGCAGCATGGCGTGCAGGTTGCCCGCCCCCAGGTCATGCAGGATCGTCACGACATCAGCTTCGGGCAGCAGGGTGTCGACGCCCTCCGACCAGACCGCCATGCTCATCACCGGCCCGTCGTCCTTGCGCATGAGCTGCAAGGTGGCGACGAAGACGTCGACGTTCTGCTCCTTGAAGCTGCCGTCGAGCATCTGCTTCTGCGTCGCGTAGTCTCCAGCCAGGGACCGCAGGTCCAGCTCGCGCGCCAACGTGGCCGCCGGCCCTTCGAGTCGCGCGGGCCGCCACTGGGCCTCGTGCAACTCCAGCGGCTGGAAGGACAGCCAACGGGCGTTGTCCGCCATGCTGGAGGCCGCGATGTCGAGCATCGCCTCGATGCCGGCGGTGTTGCCGCGGGCGGTGACGAGCAGCGTATTGCGAAACGGCGCCAGCACCACGGGCTGGCTGACGCCGGATCGATACACCACGTCCGGCAGCAGCAGACGCGAACTCTCGTAGGTGTCGCCCCATTCACCGCTCCAGACGCCGGGCGTGATCTGCCGCCAGCCGCCCTGCCCCGGCAGACTGCGCAGGTTGTCGAGCGCATCGGCCATCGCCTGCTCGAAGCTCAGCCCCCAGCTGGCCACATGGCCGTCGGTCACGTAGGACATCGCATTCGGCGTGTCGACGACAAGCGCCACGTGCAGGTCGGCCGCCAGGGGACGTGACGCCACGCGATGCGCCGGATCGGACGGCCCGTGGCGAGTGCGCGCGAGGTCCATGATGCCGACGCCGCTGGTGCAGCGCACGACCGGCAGCAGCCGCGGTCGCGCGTCGGCATAGGCCGCTGGCACTTCATGGCCCGGCAGCACGGCGCTCAGGAACTGGTCGATCACCTGAGCACGATCAGCCTTGGCAGCGCGCTCGTAGGCATGCCACAGATTGCCCAGCGAGATCCTCATCGCCTTGGCGCCGACACCGGCCCGCATCTCGCCGGCCTCCAGGTCGGACGTCACCGGCCCTAAGCCGCGGGCGACGATCCATCGCTCCGCTTCCTTGACGAGCCCCTTGAGCGTCGGCCGCCCGAGCAGTGTGTCCAGCAGACCCATGCTTGTTTTCCTCCCTGCCAAGCGTTGATCGTCGCGGCTGAATGGGCCGGCGCCGCGTCTGATGCACAGCTGTTCTCGACAATTTAAGTCGTAAACAAGGTCCTAGTTGCAATGCGGCGCGCCCGGCATCGTTCGCAGACGATCGCCTCTGCAAAGTCGAAAACAGTCGCTTAGAGGTGTCAAAGATAGTTGATACCAACGAAATCAGCATAGGACATGGATGGAAATCGTCGTCACGGTGCGCCGCCTTCTCTGCGTTGACGTGTCGAAACAGGGCTGCAGCTTGCTCTTTCACAGTGCTTGGCTCCGGAAATGGGCTGGATCAACTACTGCCATCGGCATCTCCTTGAGTTCAGAGGGCGTTGACGTCAAAGTTCCAAGCGTCGTCGCCCAGCTCGCTGCGTTCGCAAAGCCGAGCCAGGACAGCGCCGGCGAACGCGCCAACGAACGGCGTCGCGATAGAGCGTCCGGCAACAAGCGTGGTTCCACATTCGTCTCCGCTCTCCTCAAGTAGCGACCTGTACGCCGGCATCGAGATATCCACCTTCTTGCTGGCACTCGGATCCTCACCAGCCCAGATATCACGCGCCAAGCGAGTACCGGGGAATATGTGCGCCTGGACACGGGCGAAGCCTTCCGCGCCATCGCCGATGCCCGCCTCCACCACCCTTGCCTCTTGAATCCTGTCCAAGGACCGGCGCAAGGCCAAGTTGTCCACGGCAACGATGCAAATTGGGTGGGACGCGCTGAGAGGCCCAGCGTCCAGGTTCAGCCGCACCGGATCTCGCAGCACTTGAACCCCCAGCTTCTCCAGCCTGCTCGCCACGGCATCAACCTTCAGGAAGCCCACATCAGTTGCGTCGACCAACAAGCAGGTGCTCAAGCTTGACTCGGAGACCCTGTCGTCGTCAGTGATCCTGACCGACTTCGGGCGCTGCTCTGGCCGCTGAAGCATGACAGTCCACAGGTACGCTTGACCAAGATGCCCCAGCCCGATGACCCACTGCCCTTGCGGGAACGAAGACGCCTTCGCAGGTGGCAGGCGGAAAGTCACTTCACGCTGCCCAGCTAGGGGTGCATCTCGATAGATGTGCTGGAACGCTTGGTTAAGTGCAGCGCCGGCGGCCGCCACGCCGGCCTCTACGGCGCTGTCAGGAGGCGACGGAAACGAAGCGTCTGGGGTGAGGGCGAACCCATCACTTCGGACCCGGAGCCCCATCCAGAAGCCATCAGTCGTCGCGGCGCCCGTGCCAATGCAGATGGTTGGCATGTCCAACGTGAGGTCGGTGCTCAGCTTCACGCCGCACTCGACCGCCACCGCCGCCAAAGAGCGGTCTTTGAACCACGCCAGCGTGCAGGGTTCGTCTACCGGGCCAACGAGTTCAACACCGCCAAGGAACGTCTTAGGTGCCGCACGCAACAGCGTCAGCACGGCCGCCTCAACTCCCGGCGATGCGGTGAAGCCAGGCGCGACCTGCAGGCGAAGCCGAAACGATGAGAAGAGCGCGATGGCGTCTTGATAGGACCGGACTCGACCCTCGTCCATCGCAAGCTTCATGGTTCGATTAAGCGATTCAGCTAGTTCCATAGAGCCCTCAAGTGAGATGGATGGCAGCGGCGGCCTTCTCGCGAAACACAGACTGCCAACTGCCGCAGCCGCCGAACACGTGAACACCAAGGTCCCGCGGCTGCGGGGCGCCCTGGGCGAAGTTAGGCACGATGAGCGCGACGTGGCCAGCAACCGACACGATCGGATGGGCCCGGTCGGAGATGCTCTGCGAGGGACCTAAGGGATGGGTGTGGACATCAGCCACCACCTGCAGCCCGACGGCGTAGCAGTGCTCCCAGGCGCAGGCCATCTCCTCAGCGGTGAACGCCACATAGGCGTGCTGGCTGCTGCTGAGCGGCGCCACCTTGTCGTACATGAGGTAGGACGACACGCACCGCCGAGGGCCGTCCAGCGTGCCAAGGAGAAACGCCCCCGACTCCTTCTCCCCCCGCCCTGATGCGGCCAGGTCAGAGATCAGCGACTCATACAGTCCGCGCGGGATTTCAAGCAGCGGGAGCGACATAGTCATCTCCGTTCAGCATGGTCCACACTACTTCCAGGTAGCGGCCGATACCTACGCTCGGGGACCAAGCCCAAGCTGGATGCAGTTGCAGCCACACCTCATGCCCGCCGATGCTGGCTCGGTCGCAGGGGATGTACAGGGCCATGCCGCCCTGCCAGTCGGTGCGCAACGCACTGCCGAAGCGCGCACCCGCCCGGGGCCAGCGATGGGCAGCGAGCCACTGGCCCGCCGCCACGTCCCAGAACGCTCCCGTGGGCATGCCCGGGTAGCCGTCACATTGCAGGCGCAACGTGTAGGCCTGACGGTCCTTCGCAATCACATCGAAGTAGGCGTAGGGCCATGCAAGGTCCCGCAGACGCCACCGACCATCCATCTCACCCAGCAGGAACGGCGCGGCCTCCAGATGCTCGAGCAGCTTGGCGTGGTCTTGCGATAGCGAAGGGTCACCGTTGACCGTGTAGGTGCGAACCAGGTCGAACGTTGCCGTGCAGGTCCGTCCCTCCACGAAATTGCCGACGTGCTGGTCACGGGAGGGTTGGATGCTCGTTCCAGCGACCTGGAGCACCAGCTCGTTGGCGTCGGCCTGGTTGATGCCAAGCTGTCGAACTGCCCAGCGCTTCACACGACCCATCCGAGTGGCCGGGACGAAGCGGTGGTCGACGATGCGACCGGCATATCGCACCTTGACCTCCACCTTCAGGCAGTGGCCAACGTGGAGAACGCGGTCACGCTGCAGGTTTTCGTCTTCCCCGAACTCGCGAGTTTCCACGTCGTCGTCGGCCTCGTCAGAGACGTTCAAGTCGGGCGCCGCGTGCTCCGCAGGGAGTGCCGCCAGAACCGCCTTCGACAGCTCATCCTGCGACAAGCCGTCAGTTACCTTGATCACCAGGCCTTCCGGAGCAAAGGAAGCCTGAACGATGATGCGCTTGGGCATGATTGACCTTTCGTAGGGCCTGCGAATGCAAGCCTCATCTAGTCAATCGGGGCCGGAAAGAAAACCCGTACGCACTCTGTTCCGCTGTGAGCGACACGGCCTCAGTCGTCTTCCGTTGGCCGCTTGTTGCAAGGGAACAGGTACGGGCACGAGAAGCAGGTGTGGCCGCTGTCTGGAACTCTCGAGTAGTCGCCAGCACAGAATCCATATGCCTTGGCCTCGAACTTGGCAGGTGTGTCCCCTCTCACCGTTCCCACCGACTTCGCCAGCCCGTCAGCTAGCGTCGCCACCTGAATATCTAGCTTCTCTCCACCCAGCTTGTTGTGAGCGTTCAACAACGCAGCCAGGGGTGTTTTCATCGAGCTCAGGCTACGTGCGTTTGGCCGGATGAAGCGAAGGGTCTTGACACCGCCGACCTGGACCACTTGGTCCGGCTTGAGCGCAACCTTGAGCGGACCAAGTACCACCGAAAGTCCTGGTCCTCCTATGCCACCTTCAAGGAGCCAACCCCTCCCGTGAGCAACTCGCTCCTCGACGCGCTGCTTGATGAACGCTGCCGAGTCGTGCTCATGAAGCCGGAAATGCAGGATGGCGCGTTCTACGCAGCCCTTCCAGCCGTCACCCTGAAGCAATGTGCTGTCAGCCGCCAGTTCCTTCACCGCCCTGGTGGTCGCAGCGTCTATCGATCGGTGCAGCTTCATCTCTTCACGCTGCCACTTGCCACCGCGCGACGACATCTCCGACTGCCTGCCGCAGCGATTGAACTCGAGGAATTTCTCGAGAGGAACCTCGCGCTGGGCAACGATCTCCGGCTGATTCGGCATCGCAGCCGGCACCTTGCTCCATGCGCCGCTAAGCGGACTGAGCAACCCATCAAGAGATGACGGTAGCTTTTGCGCGGCGAGCGTGTAGACCGTCAGGAAGAGGCGCGGCCTGGACATGCTTACGTACAGGAGGTTGTGCCGCTCGTTCTTGTGTATATCCAGCGACTTGCTCGCATCAAGGACAGCCGATGGAATATGCGGCCTTGCATTGGGTTTTCTTGTGGGCTCATAGGTCGTGCTCTGAACACCCACAAAGTGCACGGCATCGAACTCCAATCCCTTGCTGCCATGCGCGGTCAAGATGCGGACAGCGTCCATCCCCTCCGCCTCCGGTGGGACTGCCCGCATGCTTCTGTCCTCGTTGAGGCGCAAGCGGTCACGGACGTTTTGCGGGAGTTTCTTAACCGTGGCCCAGCGCCCAGTGCCATCCGGCGTACGGCAGTAGAAGACAAACTGCCATATCGCCATCAGGGCGTTCGCACCGGACTGATCGGCGTTGGAAGCAAGTTCGCGGAGCCACTCCCCGTCTTCCAGCAGGATCGTTGAGAGCGTCTCCCACGGGGCTGCACCTTCTTCCACCAAAGCGCAGAGCCGGGCTAGGTTTTGCCACGCAGCCAGGTCCTTGGAGTCGAGCCCTTCCCCGGAGACTGCTCTCCAGCCAACACCTTGCTCAGCCACCTGGCCCAGGATGAGGTCGGCGCCGGTGCGACTGAGACTGATGCAGGGGGCATGCCAGGAGCGAAGCAGGTACGTCCCTGCATCGTCCAACGCCAGTTGGAGCAGGCAGATGAGGTCCTTGATCTCACCACGCTCGAAAATGTTTCCCAGAAATAGGACGGGCACGCCGAGGCGCTCAAGGGCCTGGGCGATGTCTGCTGCCGCCGCGTTCTGGTAGGTGATGATGGCCTGTTCGGCCAGCGGAACTCCGGCTTCGCGGAGCTGAAGAATGCGCCAGGCCAGCGCCGCCGCTTGCTCGTCATCGTCAGCAGTCTGAACATGCTGCGGACCATGTCCCACAGAGCCGAGCTCGGCTGTAAGGGAAGCAGTGGCCCGCCCTGCTGGATTGCGGCTGGCTACGACGCCGAATGCGTCAACGATCTCCTGGGAGCTGCGATGGTTCAGCGACAGCGGGATGGAAATCGCGCCGGGGAAGTCTTGCTGGAAGTTCTTCAGGTTGCTGGATGACGCCCCCATGAAGGCGTAAATAGCCTGGTTCGCATCGCCCACCACCCAAACGGTCTCGCAATCCTTCGCGAGGCACTGAACCAGTAGCGCGCTTGCACGGTTGACGTCCTGGTACTCATCAACCATCAAATGCTTGATGCCGCGTAGGAAGCGTTCGACGCTGGGGTCGGGTGACTGGATCAACCGAATGGCGACGCAGAGCAGATCCGTCAAGTCAACGGCACCCCGCTGGGAAAGCAGGGATTCATAGCGTCGGAAGATGGTGGCTGCATCTCGCAGCTTGCCGTCGATTTCCTCGTCACCCGTCAGCGACGAATTGACGGCCTCCTCGAACTTTTCAGCATCGAAGAACTCGTCCTTTGAGCGACGAATCGCATCAACGATGGCCTCAAGCCACGTGGGATTCGAGAGCGGGTCGTGGAAGATCAGTTGCGCCTTGGAAACGTCGGCCTCGAGCATCGCGATCGATGCCATCTTGTCTAGGACTGGGAAGCGCGGGCCAAGGCCGCGCAGCGCCCCGAACTTGCGCAGGAACTCGAGCCCAAAGGCGTGGAAGGTTCCGATCCAAACCCGCTCAGCCCCCTCAATGTTTCCAGCACGAGCACGCTCTACAAGCTCACGGGCCGCCTTGTTCGAGAAGGTCAGAATCACAATCTCGTCCGGCGAGACCCCGGACTCGATGAGGCGCCGTAGGCGAAGCAGCAGGGTCGTTGTCTTGCCGGTTCCTGGACCAGCTTCGACCAGGCTCACAGGCGCGTCGCTGTCCACCGCGGGTTTCTGAGCCAGCGTGGGCTTGTCGGGCAGCTTGTAGACCTTGGCTGACTTCTCAATGGTTGGTAGCAGAACGCCGTCGTACAGCTGTAGCCGAACGAGTTCCAAAGGCAGCTTACGCAAGCCTGCCAGCGCTTTAGCGCCAATGCCGTCGGTTATGAAGGCGTGGCGAGCAGCTACGCGCGGCAGCAAGAACTCCCGAGCGAAAACGTTGGCCTGCAGCTCCTCCCGTTCACGGGCGCCGTAGCCCTCCACCGCGGTTGCCCCATGGCTCTCGGTGGCGCCCGTCAGCGCTGCCTCGCTGACGTCGGTCCACCCCTCGGAAGTTGGATGGAGCCTGAGATGACCCAGCTCATGGGCGACGAGGAAGGCCTTCATCTCGTCGCTTTTGTCACTTCGGACGAGCGTCAGCTTTCGACCAACCAATATCGTCGCATCCGTGGCCTGCAGAAGATGAAACTCCGGCTTGACCACTCTCAACGCCACATTGAGCCGCTTGCAAGCAGCAGAAACGAGCGCGAAGCCGCCGACGTTGAGGTCAACGCCCTGGGCTTCCAGCTCGGCGCGTAGTGCCGCGGCTTCAACCCGTGCAGCTTCGTATGGATTCATCTTGCTGCCCGCAGGACCTACTCAAGACTCTGGTGAGTTCTTCAGAATCTTCTGCTTCGCATCATCATCAGACAGGCAATCCTCTACGAGCTGCTTCCAGGTGACGGGTGCGGCCTCGACTGGCTTGGTCTGCGTACTGAAGCGCTGAGAAGCAGCAGGTCTGTTCCTCTTCAGCGCCAGAGCCTGGACAACTGCTGCCGGAGAGCATTCAACGGACCGTCCAAGCCTTTCAAAAAACCAATCAGGCACTCCATTGACGGGCACCGGCGAATCCGTGACAGAGACGAAGAGCAAATCTTCGCCATGTTCGGACGACCCGAAGACGGCCTGCGCAGCCTCCATCAGCTTGTCCACGCCGGAGATTTCGGCCAGCTTTGCACTCGCAGCCGAGATGTCCTCGGCGGACGCCGAGCCGCGCAGCTGCTGCATACGCTGCAGGAGCTTGCTCTGCTGAGGGAGCATCTCGTCATCGGTCAGCTCTTCGGCCTCGATTTCTTCCCGAGTCGGCTCAACGAACGTCAGCTGGACCTGGGCATAGCGGCGCAGCGCTGGCGCATGTTCCGGATACTTTCCGACGAAGCTGTGGAGCACATTGGCGTCAAAGTCTTCAGAGGCGAGCGCGTATTCTTCGAGCACCTTATCGAGCTCGGCGGGCTTGCTGTTAGTCATGTCTTCAACCTTTGTTTAATGATGTCGATGGCTTGATTGATGTACTTCGTCACCGTCTTCTCAGTCAGTCCCATCAGTTGCGTGATGCAGACCGAGTCCTTGGATGCGATCTTCAAATGCCCATAGAACTTGAATGAGAAGGCGATCCGTTGAAGCTCGGGAACGTGCTGCTGCAGGATTGAAGGAAGCCTGTCCAAGGCGTCCTGCTCCCTGAGCGATTCCTCGATATCAATCAAGAAGTCCTCTGGCGACTTCGACCCCGCGGACGGCTCAGCAGGGTCACCTGCCTGCGCTTTCGCCTCGACTTCGCCGTCATCGGCGTCGTCGAGTGAACTGCCCGCACTATGTTTTTTTGCGTAGAGCTTCGCTGCAGCGTCAAGGCATCGGAGACGGACAAAGTGCCCGAACCGATTTTCCGAGTGGCTTGGCACCTTGTCGTCAGTAAGGATCGCCAGAACGATTTCCTGGCAGAAGTCCGCCACCGCGGTGCTCTCTCCGCCACCAAGCAGTCCCCAACCTGGGTTCTTGCGCGCATGCGCCCTGACGTGTTTCGTGACGCGGCGGAGCAACTCGGTGCTATAGGTGTTCGCACCTTGGTCGTCCTTGGCATGCCAGGCGTCTAGGGTCAGCGTCACCACGACCTCGTCGTCGATGTGATTCGGCTTGCCGAAACCAATCGACAGCCTCTTTGCGCGCTCGGCGCGATCCAGTGCTTTGACATCCAAGACCATCTGGTCTCGTGGTGGACTCTGAACCCAACCGCCGCGTTTAGACGCATCAGATTTCATATTGTGGTTCCTCAACGCCAGTTCTATTGGCTTCAATCAGTCAATCGGGGCTCAACAAAAATCCCGTACGAGAAATCGCGACCCACAGGGTTTGTCCTAGGTCATGCGGGCGGCCACCTGGCGGCTTTTGCCAGCGGTCCAGCCCACAAATACCGTCCCGCAGGGGTTGGAGCGACCACTGTCGCCCTAGGACGTAGCTAAGTAAGCGGAGCTGACCG